AGATGTCACTCACTGAGTACTCACTTATGAGTAATTCAATGTTTTCCGGAGCTTGAATAATGAATGACTCGTGGGCAAAATTCTGCTAAATAATTATTAAACAATTGCCAACAATTTCATGCATTATAGAAAATTTCAAAACGTATTTCGTCGACGTATTTCAAAAGAGAATTGACAATGAAAATTATTTTCAATATCGGCATTAAAATTCTGGCTAAATTCATGATTTTCGATTATAAATATCGATAAAATAGTATTCCTAACAATTTAGTCGAGATTTAAATAATACGGCAAATATTTCTAGAATATCTTATTTAAATTATAATTTATCACTTTATCTTCTTATTTACGGATAAAATAAAATAAAGCAATGCCGTTTCAGACGATTTGTCTTTCATTTTCCAAGTTCCCTAATCTATATATACGGAAGGATAAAGCTCATTAAATCACATAAAGCTTTATGTATCTATTTCTTTTTCTCCTGATAAAAAGAAAAAAAATAAGAATTACAGCTGAATCTCAGTTGATACTATTATCCCATATGATTCGATATCAACACGGATGCTTCGAGTCCACTTTAGATCCATTTTCCGGATTCATTCGATCGAGCAAATCTTTTGTAAGATGGAACAAATACTTCCAACTCGATATACAAGGATATCGATTCATTTTTTAATACACGGTGTCTTTCACAAACAGCAAATGCAATTTAAAGATATCGACGACAAAGGTGTACATAGCAGTAAGCAATTTTTGAGGAATTTCGTCATAACAGAAATAATTCCAATCTTAAATCCTTCAACTTCGATATTTCCATCTTCTTAGGAGATTTAGGGTCAACTGTTTACAGTTCAAAGACGCTTTATCTAGAATGAATCATAGTCAAGAACCTGTTTGGAAACGGTACGTAAAATTTGGTTCTATTTTCGTAGTTTTTTAATAAATAATAACGTGTCTGTCTTGGTACATTCTTGTTAAATTACATCAGAAACTAGAAGAGCTGTATTTCGCGTACAAAAATTAGGAAAAATGAAGCCAGACCAACTAGACGCACAACCGCAAAGAGATAATAGAAGAGAATTTAGGATCCAGGTTTAAACTGATCCCATTTCTGCTCAAAGGTTTATTCTCATGGTATTAACCCTTTGCACTCGACGATTTTTTGGCTAGAGAAGAGCAGAAAATCAAAGATTCTATATTAAAAAACTGATGCTACTTTTTTGAGCAGAAAATAAAGAATTGCAAAATTATTTGATTTCGATACCTCGCGCACTGTTACACGACATTAAATTTGATATATTAATTAATATGGATCTTCCAAACTTTATAAAGTGACTGGGGGTCGCTTCTGGAGTGCAAAGGGTTAAACATACCAAGTCGACTGAAATATCAGTTGTATTCTTAGACTGTTGAATTACCAATTCTCAAAAAATTGTCAAAATCTCATTATCCTAGGTATACGGTGGCCATATAATTATCGGTAAAACAATCATTAAACTGCAGAATGATACGCAAAATTTAGTTCAATTTTCGTAGATTTTTAATCAATAACGTGTCTGTCTTGGCACATTCTTGTTAAATTACATCGAAACTCAAACAGCTTTCTTTGGCGTACAGAAATTAGGAAAAATGAAGCCAGACCAACTAGCACAACCGCAAAGAGATAATAGAAGAGAATTTAGGATCCAGGTTTAAACTGATCCCATTTCTGCTCGAAGGTTAATTATCATGATATTAAACATACCAAGTCGACTGAAATATCAGTCGTATTCTTAGACTGTTGAATTACCAATTGTGAAAAAATTGTCAAAATCTCATTATCCTAGGTATACGGTGGCCGTACAATTATCGGTAAAACAATCATTAAACCGCCGTTTCGTTACACAAACTGGCGTATCCGCGAGCTATATTTTTCATCCGCTAAACAATAGAGCCTGCAAACTACGTTGAGCTAACATTGAAGCGGCGCGCACGATTTGCAAGTTCCCTTGCGTTTTGTCCTTTTCTTCCTTTTCTGGGTTGCCAGCCACCCCCACGGCCGTACGCTGTCTTTGGAACGTCTTTCTCCGCGTGCCGGTCCGCTTCGCGCCTCTTTCAGCTCCACGGCTGCTGAGCGTCCTGTCGCGTCCCAGAGATAAAGGCGGATAAAGTGTGTGCCTCCGTGCACACACCGACGCACGGTCCGCGGCGTACATGCAACGTACTTACTTACATCGCCCACGGCTCGAGTGGATGTAGTGGATGAAGTGGATGGGCGCGTATTCTGGGGGAAGAAATCAAGCGGGAAACACGGAGCCGGTCGGGGTTGGCGCACGGGCTGAGGGAGGATTGCAGCGGACGAGAGAAGAAATACACGGTTTAAAACGGCGTCGAGTGTATTACGAGTTTGGCGCGGAAGTTTTTCCTTTTTATGTAACGAGCACAGTTGGTAACATCGAGCACATTGTCGCAGCACTTGGACAATGAGTCACTGAGAGACAGCGCGACAACGCCAGGCAAAGGATAGCACAGCGTCGCAGAAGGCGGATGGGGGTTGGACGAGGGTTGCAGCGGTTGAAGGAAATGTTGCAGAAGGAATAACGAAAAGAAGTAGGGTGAGGTGGAGAAAGCGGAAGACCCGGTACAACAGGCGCGTTTGTAAATACAGCCCGCGCGTGGATTTGTTCCGGTGAAATTTCACTGTTCCCCATCCAGCTCTGTTTGGTGGCGCGAGATACTTTTAACGGAATGTCTTGGCTGCGCCGCCGCGAGACAATGCGTGCCGCTTGCGAAAGCTTGTATCCAAAGTAATATACGGCCTGGATATAAGCGAAAGTGGCGGGGATTGAATAAAACAACAGCAAGAGAGAGGAACGTCAGGCCGCATTTTTGTAATGCATACACAACCGCTTCGCTATACAGGGGTGAAGCTAGGTTTGGAAGCGCGTGACAAGCGACATCTAGGTCAGACAAATTGTTATTTCTTTTGATTTAGTCGACAATCACGGATTGCTGGGACTGCTTTGAGTGTTTCTCGTTGGCACGCGTGTGTTTCACCCCTTCCATGCTTTTTCCTTTCTTTAACCCCTCTATCCAGGTTCACGCGCAAAGCGAAATCGCTAGTTGAATTGCCTTTGAAGGAAGCAGCACATCGTTCCGATTCGACTCCGCGAGTTTGAATTTATATTCAGGTGTTGGCTGATATATTTATAGAGCACGTTTGTTTGTTCGTTCAATTGCAGGTCGCTTTTAATTTTCGACTGGACGATAAAGGTGCCTTCTTTCAATTTGTCCGAGGAATTTCCCTATCGAAAAGAGAAAATTACAGCAAATAAACTATTTACGTTTCGTATGATATTAACTAACGTATCTTGACACGATATTCATATGTCTCCGAAATCAATCACCTTACGCAATATGTGGTAAAGCATTTTTATGTAGAAAAGAACGAGCTACTATTGGTACGTCAAAAGTGTAGTATTGCGAGCCATGAAGGACTCTAGCAAAGGAAATAGTATTAAACCAGAAATGAATTCAGAAATGAATTGCTCTCTGGGCAGCCGGCGTGACAGAGCTCAACCGCATGGAGAATTATATTCGATTATGTGAAAAAATCTCTGCAGAGGAAGCATATGGTGCTAGCACGTCGAAAACAAATGATTTAATGGACATTATGGGGCAGTCATTGATAACAAATGCACGGAGCCTAATGGCGCTGTTCGCTCAGAGGGAGCAACTATGGCTGAGCGTCTAAAGACGCTGTTCGCAACGAAAGGATTAAGAATGGTATTGAGTTCAACTCGAGCGTTCAGGGTGACATCTGGGGTGACAACTGACCGCGTGCAAGGATTGTATAGATGAGATATTTACGACCAAGTCGAGAGCAAGCAATGAACGAAAGTCTAGGAATACGTCCAAGTGCCTGAAGTACCACCGAGGGCGAGGTCGCGTGAGAAATGAGTGATCAAAGAAGAGATCTTGTGCATGAAAAGAGACAGTGTTAGATTTTAAATAGGGGTGCAAGGGCGCGGGCGAGACAGAATGCGGGCAGTGGAGTCATAGCGAGTAAAGAATCGTGCGTTTGAGAGCTAGAGTTCAAGAACTGAGAGAAACATAGCGTAATATTTTAGTTTAAATGAATCTGTTTGTTATTAAAAAGATTTCTATCTATATAGGATTTATCTATCATTAATCCTACATAAGATATAGTTGGACCCCAAATGTCCTCAACGTCTCCACTTAGGAGAACCTCATCTACATCAAATTATGTGCCACCTGAAACCATCAAGCTTCTATATCTGAAACATTGTTCCGTATCATAAATAGTTACGGAGATGTTCACCTGGGTCGATTTAAATAGAACTCGCTAAATATGCTTTTAGAAACATTCAAAACTTGTTTGCTTATTTCAGACCATAGAACAGCTCGTTGCAAAATAGTACAGGAATTTTATTTCTAGCCTATTTCTGCCAGGACTAGGAAACGCGGAATGACTCACTTTCAATTTCAACCAGGTATATACATACTTTGTATCTCGCGAACGTGAACATTGCATGCACGCGTTCTCTCTTTTCTTATTCTATTTCACTGAATCCAGACAGGCTACGGAAAAATACGCGTTTCGCTTCTATCTTCCTTTATGATTTCCCAGCTTGGAGCATCGCGTGTACCTCTGTTTCCATATTAATTCTCCACCCGATACGTATTCTCAATGAGCAACGTAGACGCACGCAATATCAAACGTTCGTCTCACCTTTCTTCAACACCTAGTCGCATAGACTGAAATTCTTCAAAGTTAGCTACGCAAAATTAGATTACAACGTCGTCAATGAATAACAAGTTTAGTTTTGCCCAAGTTCCACAGCGGAACGTGTTTCAAGTTAAATTGCCTTTCAGAGAACTCGCTTCTGTTTATGATAGAGGATACATTCAACGATAGTCTTTAACGTCGTCCGACGTTTCCCGATACAACCGCGACAACGAGGAAACACGTGAGAATACTTTGTTACTTTGTTCCCCAGGTGGCGTGGCTACGCGTGGACACACAGACGATCCTCACGATCGCCAATCACGTTATCACGAAGAATCATCGGATCGTCGTGACACATAGCGGTCATCGTATATGGTCCCTTCACATCAAAGACACCAAGGAAACGGACAGAGGATGGTACATGTGCCAAGTTAACACCGACCCGATGTCCAGCAACACTGGATTCCTCGAAGTAGTCGGTAATCAACTATCAACGTTATCTCTTTGACCCTAACCTGCTCCATACCCTAATCGTTATCCATATTATCAGATTTGGTAAAAATATACACGTTGCAGACAAAATCCGGAATTGGTTGACACTTTCAGTATTGGTCTTGGTCGAGAATTAATCAAATGCTAGTGGGAACTAGTTCTCGCTGAAACACATTTGTTCAACTTTTGTACATTGCGTTTATCACTAGCTTCCCCGGTTATCGCGCTGATTATGATAATATACAAGATTTAATTCATCCGGCGAATTTATAGTACTTGTGACTGTGCTCCACACGCGATTAACATGCATCTGAAGTCTATAGGATGAAACGCGTATTATTGAGTGTATTATTATTCTCGATATAATATTTCGGTTTTCGTGTGCAGAATTTCTGAAAGAAATTTTTCGAAAAACACAGCATATCGCGTGTATTAATTTCTCAGATATCGCTGTTTAACACGTTGACTGTTGACTATTAACTGTTGCATCTCAGTGGGGCCATGGTTGTCACCAGTGTTCGGTGAGACTAATTTCCTAAATTAATATTTGCTTTATTCTAAGCAATTTTAAACGAATAGAGAACTTTGAATAGAAGACGCTAATAATTTGCATCATTCTTTTTTGCCATATTGTTTGATAATTCATCATTATATCCTAAGAATAAAGAAAATTTTATCGTGGCTTCCTGAACGTACCATATAAAAGGTACATGGCAGTCAAATAACTAAATGATTTTCATGCAATAGTGGTGTAGTAACGTAGTAACATTCAGTTAAGTCCAGAATTAATTAGAAAAAACCTGTTATTGCCTAGAAAATTTGATTATTCGAAACCAGTTTCAACCAATTTCGAGTTTTTACTGTAACATACGCAACAGTTCGTAGAACTGATAGACCCTGTTCAACTGCATATCAGTATTCGAACACGGAGGAAGTTAGCTGCAATTCCAGCCAATATATCACGATCTTACTGAACATAAAGTCCGAACGCAGTTTCACACCTGACCTTCGAAGTTAGCTACAGTTCTGGCCAAGGTGTAGATCCGGAATGCTCGACTCGGAACGTGGCAGGCTACTGTTCCGTTCTTCCCAGAGATTTAACAATTAACGAAAACCCGCGAAGAATCCCAAAAGCACATCGAGATATCTCGTTCAAAACGAGAGTTAGCATTTTCGCGAATGTTTAACAGTGGTCATTCCATAACAAGTGAGGAATCCAGCATTTCGCAGCTAGTCAGATTTCCGGATGTCGGACAAATTCTGGCTTTGTTGTTGCTCGAGAGAACGGAAGGGAATTCCTGGCTGGATAGTCGCGCCATTACAGCAAATATTTGCAAGCAAATCGTGCGTCTGAGATTGCCGGTGAATTTGTATTGCGCGTGTTCCGAAACTCCGCCGCCTTCCGGCACCTTGGGCTCCTTGGGAAACTCAGCTAAGCACCGGGCGGATTCAGCGTTTTCCGTGTCTACGTAACTCACGCTTGTCCCGCGGAACACGTCCTTTGCCTGGCAGGGGCATCCTTCTTCCGCGGCCATGCATCAACCGATCCTTCCTCGGAACTTTCTTGGCACTTGGTACCAGCGTTCCTGTTACCGCCAACTTGTCAAACTTCGCCAACTACGGTCGCCTTAGAATCTACCGTAGTGTCGCCAGGGGTCCGTGATTGCCACTACGAGGCACCGATATTTAATCCCTTATTATTTCGTCAGTAATTTGTCTCGCGAGCGTGCACGTTGGGCCAAGGCTACCCAAGGAATGGCTCCAATGGATCCGAGGCTCGATCCAAGCTTCCCGGTTAAGTTCAAAACGATCCGTAATACGGATATTCAGAGTTGTCGATGAATTTTCGGATTGGGAAGCTGAAAATGATATTCTTTAGCACAACCAGCGTATTGTAGTATCGCGAATTTTCCATCGTGTACACGTAGCTTTACGAGGGAGCAAAGTACAGGGCAATTGGGAAGAACACTGGGCCATGCGTCGGGCCCTTAACACGACCATATTTAACCAAATATCGGAAAACGTGTGCATGGTGAGAAAATATATAAAAAGGGTTAAGAATGGTTGGAAGACAGTTTTTGTAGACAGTTAGTTATAGACAGTCTTAGTCGTAGACAGCTAGTTGTTGCAAACTGAGTTGTTATTGATTTGTGAAGTTGAACGCTGTATTAACATTAGATTTAAGGAACCCGTCAATTTGACGGAAGTATTGCTCCAATTATACAATGGTAACAGATTTAGTTAACTTATATTAAGACTGTTAATATAATATATAATTGTTTTTAAATTAAACTAATTATTAAAATAAAAGGCACGTGGTTTCTTTTATCTGTCAATTTGACAGGTGTCCTTAGAAATAGGTATACAGATAGCCTCCGTAAACCTAGTGTTAAGTTGAGAATCGATCTAGATTCTTGATAACAGATAATTTGTATATTTAATCGTACACAGTTATAATTTATGTTGGATGACCAACGGTTAACTCTTAGTTGACTCTTAGTCGCTAAAAGGACCTAGCTAATAAAGGCAAGCCAACGTCAGAGTTCGAAACATCTTACCCATTGTCAGTTCTACCTTGACTAAGGGCCAATGATCATTTTTACCCTTCGAAAAACTAAGAATATGTAAGCACCTGCAAAAACTACACGAAGGCAGTTCTCATTTTTCTCTACCGATTCATAGTTATTGCGTTTTCCAATGTAGCCTCGTTGTAAAACTCGTATTGCATATAGATAAATATATTACAGAAGATTAATCGGTCTATAACGTTCTCAATCCGGGTTCCAACATTATTAGTAAATTACCATCACCGTCAATCCCTACAATATTTACATATCTCTCGAGTGCTTGAAGATTTAGTACCTCAATAATATATCTCTTGATACTATTGGGTACATACTTGATACCCAATCTATTTTCCTTTAAATAAAATGTCTGAAACCATTCCGTAGCCATTTTCACTACCTGTGAAGATTTAGCATCGTTATTGTAACAGCCAGTCTGAAATGTGTACTTAAGTACAGTATACGTGTTCTCGGTGAATGTAAAAATAGAAAGCCCTAAATCAATCATTTTGACTAGTTTAGTGGTTCAAGTGTTAAATTACTTGCAAATTTAACTGTGAAAAAAGTCGGTCCTAGGTTCTTTTATTTCTTTCACCGGGTACTATAATCCCCCCGTTGCCTAACAGCCTGCACACACTGACCAGGTAACACCAAGTACATCTGATCTTAACGAGATTGCAAATGAGCCCCTAGCTATAAATCCCTAAGGTTACAAATCCTGCACACGTAACGTTGCCAGCGATCCAAAGCGTCTAAGTGGAGCTGTCTTTGACCAACGGACACAGGCTGGAAATTTTTCACAGGAGCAAGAGAAGAGTAAGGAAAAAGTAAGCCGGAGGAAGCGTTTAGCGTGCAAGGCGCATCCAAAACAGTGTAATCATGGCTGGTCTGAAAAAGTTCGCCCGCCAAGATAGAGACAACTCGTGGCACAGTCGCGTTGCATAGCCGGCTAGCTAGATTGATGTCGGATTTGCCGCGGTGGGATGCAAATATATGTAAAGTGCACACCACCGCGTACCAAAACCTTCGAGGGCGATTGTACTCTTGGTGGGCTATTAAACACCTTCCTGGCGACTCGTGCTCCTCGGTCTAATAACTGGCCGGCCTCTTCACTCCGCAAGAAGCCCATTTACCAGTCGCTGAGCACGGCAGAACGTGCGCCAAGAACGTATGGCTTAACCTACACGTAACCTCTCGTTAAATTTCTTCTTTATCGGTTTCGACGATCGGTCAGCCCCCCATCGCCGCGCGAGGCGTCAGAATAGGCAGTGGTCGCCCGGAATTGGTCTCGTATCCTCCTCTGGTTGGCCGTTCGGCCCGTCGATGAGCGATAGGCCGGAATTTTTGTCGCTCGCAAGGAAAGCGGAAGGACCGTGTCCTTCCGTGGTCGCGGTTTGCATAATTCGACGATTCATACCAGCTTGGACGGTCGGGGATGCTGATGAATTCGTAAACGTGGCAAGATTGTATTTGCATGAGACTACGAGTGTTGTCGCTGCCTCGAGCAACGAGCTGGACGCGCGTAAATAAGTTAGACCGTTTCTGCGAGTAATTAAATGCTCTCCGTGGCAATGTCCCCGACACAAACACGCGATTAACTTTCAAATGGAATTCCCGAAATTCCATTAGTCGGTGGACAAACTGAAGCGTGGTCCTTAAGCGTGCCGCGAAGCATAATTTTGCAGGGAACGGCGCCGCGGCCCCTGAACGCAAAGCTCTTAAGCTTATCGCGAACTAACCCTCGTTAAATTCCTTCCTTTATCGCGGCAACGTTACTACCTGCTTGACCGCTTGCACACTGTGAAATTGCCTGTTCTCACTTTCGTGTTCGATTGGTACGACGTTTAGCCCGAACGAGAATTTCGCGATTAAATTGCGGAATTGGGAGACTAGGATTTGCTCTGTGATTTGGACAGTTTGTAAGTCTTTCCAGTTATACCAATGAGATGTACACGTTGGATAGAGACGAAGTTGGAGTTAGAGACGCGTATGAAAAGTACATAAATACTTGACGATGTTCGTTATTTGAAGGGTTCAGTTCCGTTCCTCGAGAATTAATTAACCCTTTGCGCTTGAAGGGTCCCTTTGACACGGGAAAATAACTCGGAGAATTTTTTCAGTAGCACGAGGGGGGAGAACTTTTCCACTGATTAATCGATACGAAAAGGCGTTCGACATCTCATACTCGAGATACAAGGTCTATTTAATTGAAGACACTCGTAAATTAATTAAAATTGCCAAGAGGAAAAATCGTCAGATCAAATTCTATGATACGTTTAATTTAATTAGGATAATTATAAAATTTGCATGTATCTATTTCAAAGTAAATCACAAAGAAACAATAATTTTTGGTTTTTTGGGTACCACGCATAATGAGTGTATTATCACAGAAAACATATTTAAAATATTTATGTTTTTGAAGA